TCCCTCCCTCCCTCCCTCCCTCCCTTCCTTCCTTCCTTCCTTCCTTCCTTCTTTCCCTTTCTCACTCTCCAACTTGAGGCATGTCTCCAGTCTGACTTTGTGTTGGTTAACTGGAAGTGCAGTCTTACAGACTTTTCAATTTGGACTGCCTTCAGACAACTATATTCCAAGTCTCAGATTCCTGAGTAGAAAAGACTATCGGTATGAGCCACCAGAATCCAGTTTGTTATAGTTTGTAATTGTTTATATTTTTTAATTAAGAAGCTTAATTTTGAGAGCAATTTTTAAATACGTAAGTGCTCTGGCTTTTATCCTGGGCTAAAAATAGTATAAATATGTCTGGTCACCAGTGGCTCATGCCTGTAATCCTAGCTACTCAGGAGGCTGAGATCTGAGGATTGAGGTTCAAAGCCAGCCAGGCAGGAAAGTCCATGAGACTCTTATCTCCAATTAACTACCAGAAAACTGGAAGTGGTGCCGTGGCTCAAGTGGTAAAGCACTTGCCTTGAGCTGAAGAGCTCAGGGACATTGCCCAGGCCCAGAGTTCAGGCCCCATGACTGTCAAAAAAAAAAAAAAAAGTATAAATCTGATAGAAAGGTGCCCACCCACACAATAATAGATTATTGAGGATTTGATTGGCAATAAATTAAACTGATAGATTAAGGAATTTACCATTTATGCAAAGATAATGAAAGATCATTTAAGCTTAAGGACAGTAATGCATGGTCTATTATATATAAAGTTATCAGTAAATAATAGTGAGAAGTCAATAATGAGAAAATTTAGCATTATAAATGATTTATTAAATAATTTTAATTGAATAAATAATTTAGAGGCAGCATTCTCTAGGACAAGTGAACTAAAATTCATGCTATAATAAAGTACACCAGTAACAATATGGGAACTGCTAATTAGGCCACGTGTTAATAAACTCTTTTTCAAAAAATAACAATAGAATTGTGAATGCCGCCAAATCAGTGTTCATAATATTAATAGGCATTAGAAAATACTATGAAGTAGCTAAGAACATGGGCTTTATCTTGGTTTGAATCTGGGTTCCATCTCTTAATAACTGACATAATGCTAATTTCTCTGCACTAAGTATTCTATATTATAGATAACCTAAAGACAATAATATGCTTGTCTTAATATTGAGGCAGTGAAGATAAAATAAAGCAGAAAACATGAGATACACAATACAGTGTCTGATACACAGAGATCATTAATAGAACTATTTTTACTAAAAACAGCCACAGAAGTGAGTTCAGTGTTGGAGGACAGAGTAATTTAAGCAAGCTTCTTCCACATGTCTCTGAAGGATATACAGTATTTCCAAATGGGTCAATCAAAGGTAAAATTTTGTTGATTTTAAAGCAGTGAAACACCGGACAGTATATATAATCAGCACTAACAACTTCTCTAGGCTTCTTACATACCGAGTGGGTACGGAGTGCTGCGATGGTTTTTGAAAGTGCCATTTCCCATAGTTCATCAATGTAGGCTCTATTTACTAAGCCCTGTGTTGTATGCAAGATGTGATCTTCAACCACAAAAAAGCTAAGATTGAAGAAAAAAGAAAGTATAACTTTCAGAAATTAAAGTTTGATTACTATCACTGAGTTTTTACTTAAGAGCTGCCATTAAATTTGAAGTTAATATTCATATTTCTTTTAAAAAGCTATTCTGTATCATAAATAAAATGATTAGACAAATAATTATATGCATGATCACATTTTCTTACACACTTCTAAACATAATGGAGTTACATTTCTATGAAATGTTAACTATGTTATCAAGAAAATTGAAAGGGAAATAAATGTATACAGCTAATGAAGGCTAATTTCAAAATATTGTTAGAAACAGATGGTCAATACTTTCCAAAAGTAATTGGTTTTAAACAGATAATCAAGACTGAAACATGTTTTTAGCAATTTGACATACAACATAATAAAATAATTTCTCTCATACAGATTTCCACAACAAAGTAAGAAAAATTTACCTTATGGAAGTTTTTTAAAGAAAAAAATATACTTATTTTCAACATCCTTATTATGGCTTTTTGTAATTATGCATTTAAAAAGAATCTTTTATTATGCATTTAAAAAGAACCATTGGTGCCTAAATGTTCATTCTAATTAAGTCTATATATGGTACATTTAAATCAAAATGATTAATTATACTAAAAGAATTTTAAGCTGATTTTAAAAAGAAAAAAATCCTACTTATTTCCTTTTTATAACTGCAGCTATCCCAGACCCAAAGAAACATAGGTCCCATGGTTTCCCTTATTTGCAATATCTAGTATATGTATGAGTCAAGC